TTGTATCTTCAGAAACCGAAGATTCAACGATCTTCTCGGGCTCAATGACTGTCGTCGTAGTTGTTGTAGTAATTGGCTCAACAACTGGTGTTTTCTCAATAGGAACTTCTTTCGTTGGCTCCTCTTCATCATCAGCGAAAGTCATTGGCTCATCGAGAACATCCATCCAAGTGCTACTCGTTTCATCTACAGGTAGGCCAGCATATGCTGGTTTCTTGGGCTCTTCCGGTTTCTTTTCAGCTTCCACCGCCTTCGGTTCTTTTGGCAGAGTAGATTCGCTAACAGTTTCAGTTACAATGGTTGTTGATGTGATTTTTACTGTTGTCGTAGAGTCTTCAACAACATTTTCGGGCTCGTTTACTGTCGTTGTTGTAATTGACGTTGCAATGGGCTCAGCAACTTCAGCCGCTTGACTGATTGATTTTATTTCCGTCTCTTTCGTGGACTCACTGTCGTCTGAACCCGAAGCTTCAGATTTCATTTCTTGTATAGTATGGATGATCTTATTTATATTTGCTTCATCACCATTTTCTGGGAGTAGAGGTATTTCCACCTCATCCTCGACCAATTCTCTCCAAGATTTGTGCTCAATTACAATATCTTCCGAACCATCGTCAATCATTTCAGCCCATGACTTATGGGTTGTTTTATGATGATCCCTGTCGATGTCCATTTCAGATACCAGCTGAGACTGCACAGCTACTTTTTCTGGCTTTTTCGCTTTTTCTGTTTCTATGAAGTCAATGGTTTGCCGATTTGTTACTGACGCCCAAGAGCTAGTATGTGAATCTTGAGTAGGAATTCTTTCCCTTGGCTTTTTCTTCTCATTACGATCTATCTTCACATGTTTTACAAACTCTGTGGTTTTTTGTTTTACATCCATCTTTTCCTTAGGTGGCAAATCGGTCATTTTGTCAATTTGGCTGGCAATCTTAGCCCACGTTGTTATTCCGTCATCAGGAATTGAAGGTAATGAGGTATCAATAACATCACTATCAGATGTAGATGATACATTGGGTTGTAGCTTTATAGACTTTTTATCGATCGGTTTCTTGCCTTCTGTGTCAGTTTTGACTCCCTTCTTAGAATTTCTTTCTTTCCGTGTTCTAGGTTCAGGCTTATGCTCCTCCTTTGGAACGGCAGTTGGTTTTTTGCGGGATGCTATATCATCTACAAATTCTCCTGGTTTCTTAAGCAAAGCAGCCCAAGAAAATGCATCAGAAGTACTTGTTATAGGCTTTTCATCAGTCATTTGTTTTTCTGAATCAGTTTCGGTCGCAATTACTTCTTTGACTACTGGCTCGGAAATGATTTTCTCTTTCTTAGGAGCTTCTTCCTTTTTAGATATAATTCGTTCCTTCTTATGTGGGCGAACCTTTCGTGTTTTATCCCGCTCCTGTTGATCTGCTTCTACTTTTTCCGTTGAAGGTGTTATCGCACTCTTAATATGCGTCACAGTTGTATCGACCCATTCCCCGGGTCTTTTTACAAGCGAAGCCCATGAAAAGCTGCTCGATTCGGGTTCTTTCGTTTGTTCGGGCTCCGCAACTTCAACAGTTTTCGATACAGACTCTGCTTCTAAAATTTTCTTAGCATGTGTTGTGAGTACTGGGGCTTCAGTGTCTTGCTTTTCATCCTCAGAAGTGGTTGAAACTTGTTCTTGAACTGGTTTCTTAGACTTCTTTGATTTTTTAGTTTTAGTAGTCTTTCGTTCAGATTTTTCTTCCTTTTTGAGTTTTTTGCCATCTACTATAGTCTCTGACTTTAACACTTTATTTTTGACGACTGTAGTGTCTGTCCATTCCCCAGGCCTCTGCACCAGGGCAGACCAAGTCAACTCAGATGGTTTCACAGCTTCGCGCTCATCAGATGAAGGTTCTTTAGAGCTGGTGGTGACAGGCTTTGATGAATCTGTACTTAAGTTTTCTTGAATTTCTTCCACTGGCTTTTGTTTTTCTTGTTTGGCTTTCTTCTTTTGCTCCTTTGGCTTATCTGTCCTCAGCAAAGGCTCAGCCAATTTCGGTTCCTGAACTGTTACAGGCTTTTCGGAACTTTGTAATTTGGAGCTCTCCGCTGCACTAAACAGAACGTCAGCATAGGATTTTCCGTCTCTATTGTTTTCCCAGACACTCGGCTCTGTTGCTATATCTGAATCCAAAACAAATGTGGAAGATACTGGAGTATCAATGGGAACTTTCTGTGGTGAATCCTCTACAGGTTTCCTTGCCTTCTTTGACGGCTTTACTTTCTTTGGTTTCTTTGGAAGTGGTATTTGTTGATCTAACCTACTTCGTGGAATGAACTCATTATAAACTCGTTCATTTGCAAGGAATGTGTGCGTCTGATCGGCATATGTGTGCCTGAGATATGAAGGAGTAAATTCTGGAGCATCGGCGGACAAAGTTGATATGAAAACTGCGCTTCCCGAGTTTGGTGAGGATTCCTCCAGCACACTAGACCAAGTGTCAATAGGACCCTCAAGTGTTAAGTTAGAATAAGCAGGGCTATTTTCAGAATCACTATCATGTTCTTGAATTACGCTAATAGTTTCAGCTAGAGGCTTTGTGGAGTTTGTGTCCTCCGAAATTGAAGATTCCACAACCTTCTCAGGCTCAGAGACGGTCGTTGTAATTAAAGCTGAAATGGACTCAGTACCGGAACGTTTACTTGTTAGTTTCTCTTTATTTTCTTTCTTCTTAGTAGGGATTTCAGATTTCTTTTCAACTTCAACGGTTTTCGTTTGTTTTGGGAGAGCAGATTCACTAACAGTTTCAGTTACAGTGGTTGTTGATGTGACTGTCACTGTTGTCTTTGTGT